ATCTTCAAGCCTTTAAGACCCCAGACACTACCAACTTTCTTCACATTTGCTTATGCACCCATTTTGTTTTCAGCAAGTATGTAGGGAAGGTAAGCATCACAGAACACCAGGTTATTAGAACAAAGTGTTCTTGTGTTGAGGGAGTACTTGAATAGAGAGAGGCCCAATGTCGGTCAGCTACCTTAATACTTAACATATAAAGAAATGTATATGGGACTATTTCCCTAATGCTATAAATGTCCTTTGCCTCCTGGTTCCTTCCTTTTACTTTCCTCTTGTCCCAAACCCCACCAAGCATTCTGTGCCCTCCTTGCCATCAATTTTAGATCACTTGTTGCAGGTGGGAGGAAATAAAGAGGAGCTGATACCAGGGCTCAAATAGAAAGAAAATGTTTTGAAAAGGTTGATAGCACCATATGTACAAATGTGCTTGCCACAGTGGGATGTATAGATTGTTATAAAAGCTCTAAGATCCCCCAATACAATGATTAGAAAAACAATCAAAAAATTCTGGAATTTGAACCACTCTAGAATGTAATAAACACTGGTAAGGTGTTTCTGTCATCTGGGCATGCTAAAGCCCTTGCTATGAAATATTCCCATAGAAACGCGGGGGAAACGGAAATAACCGACCTCAATTATTCATAGGGTATTTACATAGTTCTAATAGCTCTCTTTCCATTATAAGTCATTCTGTTGCCTATTTTAGCACTCAAAATAAATGCCTGATTTGCACAGCGTTTATAATACAGTAACTAACATATTTATTCTATAGAATGATATCTATGAAAAAACAAACCCATGGTCATGGAATTGATTCCAGCTCCTAGCAACCCCACAGGACCAAACAGAACTGCCCTGTGTGTTTCCGAGACTGTAACTACTTATGGGAATAAAGAGCCTCATCTTTCTCCAGACTACATAAAAACTAGAGCAAGTTCTCTCTTCCCATTATCCCTTCCTTCTTAAATTCCTAACTCACCTATATCAAGAATTCTACTTATAATGGGCACTGCTATTCAGTCTATCCATCTGTCTTCTCTCCTAGAGTTTTCTTTCACAGTCAGTGGGTTAGCACTCCCTTCCTTTGAGATACTAGGCTATCCAATGCTTGCTGCTTATCCCTCTGCATCCAGTTCACTACCTTGCTCAGAAAAACAAAAGGACCCACCTTCCTAAGAAGATGGAGGCCGAATTGTAAATGCATTCTCAATACCTATTTATCCAATAAGAAAAGCTACCTGTGATGTTTTCAGAGCACTTCTTCTTTGTTACAGCTCAGTGCCAAGGAACAAAAATCCATTCCAAGAGGTAAGTGCCTTTAGAAAATTCTGTCCCTGCAAAGGAAAGAAGAAGAGGTGACTACAAAATGTTGAGGAATGACTTTAAGTCCAATCCTACATATCTAAAATTCTTTCTAAATCAGGAAAATAGAGTTGCTAAGAAGTATTTTTTATAAACAATTGTTTAACAACACAAGAATGAATTTAGACTCCATCCTACACCATATATAAGGGGGTTTCTAAAAGTTGGTAGAAAAACTGGAAATGAAAGATAATGGAATGTTCCTACAAACTCTTTGAAGGCCCCCTCAAACACGTCTAAGAGCTAAACTTCCATGCATCAAAAGACAACCACCTATAGGAGAAAATATTTGAGTAGGCATTTCTCTAAGGAAGATAGGCCAATCAAAATGATGATACACAAGCTAACAAGTGTTGAAATTGCCCTAGTCCAGCGCTTGTGGGAATATAAAAAGGGTGTAGCTGATTTGGAAAATAGTCTGCCAGTAAACTGTTACCGTATGAGCCACCAATTCTGTGGATGTCCACACAAACTCTTAATTGTGAATTTTTATAGCAGTATTGGTCATAATAGCCAAAAGATCCGGAACAAGTGTCCATCATCCAACATAAACAAACAAATGTGGTATCCATATAATACGATTTATATATATGAAGCTTCTTTGTAAAATTGGATTCCAAACATTTAAATGCACAGAAAAATTCTTAGTAAGGTTAACATACTGAAAACTTTGTAAATGTTAGTTTTTCAATTTTTCCTACCCTCTGGAGAAAGTCCTGTGGATTTATTTGATGTTACTTAATTGCTCTTTACCACTGACTGACTAGGCATTAAAAATTTATGTACTTCTCTTAGAAAACAATTTCTTAATTGAAATTGCACCAGGGACCTCTTACCCTCTAGTATTTTATTACTTCAAATGTGGAACAGACTTCAAGACAAAAAAATCATGGTGCTGGAAAGTTAAATCACTGTTTTAATTTATTTGATTCAACTTACTGTTTTCCTCCCTGTTTGCATTTCTAGGCAATCGTTTTTGTGGTGGGCGGAGGCAACTACATTGAATATCAAAATCTTGTTGACTACATAAAGGTATACTCTGGGCTTTTTATTCTTCTGTAGTAGGATAGTGTTACCAGTGTTGTCGCTGGTGGTCCTCTTGATCTGTAAACATGACCAGCTCTTTTCAAAGAGGCTGAAGTGCCCGTATGTTGTTTTCCTGCTCTAAGCACATTCTTACTGCAAACCAGCAATATAGCTGTAGCAAACTTGAAATAGCTTTCCCCCAGCTCCACCACCACAACCCACCCCCCGAAAATGGGAACATTTGAGATAGCAAAGTAACATGGAGTAGTAGTTAACATTGATGGGAGTGTTGGACAACTAAGTCAACTGACAGTGAAAGAGGAGGCTTCACTTGAAAAGGGAAAATGCCATTTAAGGAAGAGAATGACCCTTTAAAATATGTTTTGTCTTTTGCATTAATGAACAGTACATGTGTCGTTCAAGATTTGAAATATTAAAAATTTTAATTTATTAATGGTATACCTTAAGTGGAAGGGCAGTCTCCTATTACATAATTGCTGGTATAAATACCACCGAGTTACGCTTAAAATACTCAAGGTAGATGAACTGCAGCAAGCACAAAGAGATACTTTGAAATAGTAAATGATGTGGAAGAAGGTAGTATACTCACATAAAGGGTTAATACAGGTAGAGAAACCTTGGTATGCAGGAGCAATTTGTACTAATCATGAACCCAGTTGTGACCAGAAGAAGAATAAAAGACAAAAACTTAGCATACTGCCAGTCTACCCCACCCCCCCAAAAAGAACTGCTCCTGGAATAACTAGACTCCCGAGACGACTGTATCTTGCATTGAGTTTGGGATCATAGGGCTGTACCTGAAAATCTTAAATTCCTGTGATGTTCCCAGTGCGTGTTTCCCTGTACGGTACTTGATGTGAAGGCATCAATACTGCTGTCTCACTGCTTGGGATGTCAGAGAAGGACAGCTAGGGGTATAGCCAGTGCCCCCCACCCCGCGCACACACACAGAACTATCCTTCTCATACTAAAAGCCATCTTCCTAACTTAATTATAGAATATTTTTGTATTATAAAAAATCTTACAAACAGTCCATAAGGACTTGACAATATTCTGTCAGTCAGGAACAAGATGGAATGGACTATTTTGTTAACACTGGGCTGAACACGTGAGACCAAATGACAATCTGTGCTACTGGCACTATATCATACTTTCAACAAAACTAAATTCTACAAAATGTTTTCTTCACATTGTAAATGTGGTGATCAATAGATTAATTATATTTTCACTGTGCCTAAAAGGCTTGTGGGAAAAGTCTACTCATAGTCTTCCATTTTTCCATGATCCTTTTAAAGTCCCTTTGTATTCTGATTGGGGAATAAAAGTAATGCTCATGTCACCACATGACTTTGTTGCATACAATTTTCGGGTAAACATGTATACACTGAAATCCAGTCAGTAGTCCACCACCAAGGAAAAACCACCATTGAGATTATACAACACAGGCAGCTTTTTTTTTTTTTTTTAGTTCTCCTTTGGGAACATGGAAAAATGTTAACCTAATTACATCTGAGTCCTGTCTCTGATTTTTACAGGGAAAACCAGGCAAGCACATTTTATATGGCTGCAGTGAGCTTTTTAATGCTACACAGTTCATAAAACAGGTAAAGTTTACATTTTAGTTTGTTTCTATTAAGGTGCTTGTTGTTGATTCAGTTTGCTTGATATTTTTAACTTAAAAGTAACATCTTTTCCCCATTATCCTATGTCTTTAGGAAAAGGCAAACACAAAATAACTTTACTCCATTTGGTGATATTCATTTCAGCATTTCCTTATATACTGTCACCTATATGCCTTTGCAAATACATCACAAGTTGAGGCTGAGAAATTCAGTAACTCCCTTAGGACAGCAATTGGTCTGTTGGCACCTTTAAGTTTTGACTGAATGGGATGACCAGTAATGTCCACTCTCCTTTACTGCCATAAAAATCTTAACTGCAGCCTATACTCCTTTTTAGACACCTGTTTGTGGAATTGGTTTCCCCCCAAGGTTCTTGTATTTCTGACCTTGTAGTAAAAGGAATGCTGAATACTTTGCTAATACTGTTCTTATTAAAAATCATTTTCCCCCAACATTTATTCAAGCATACATGAGAATTGAAAAACTACAGTCAGCAATAAAATTTAACTATATACTTTTCACTTGAGTTAAGATTTGAAATGGAAGCCAAAGACCAATGACTTTTCATCTGAATACCATATATCCTAGAACCATTCATTACAAAGACTTCCTCCCCGCTGGATGGCTTTGGTGACCTAGAGAACCAAATTATGTTCCATTGATTTGCTAGTGCCACTGTACCAATCAGGAAAGTGTAAGTTCTTCAACTTTTGGCTATTCCAGGTGAACACTGCTTATACAACTTTGTGTGGTGGAAATATACTGGTCAGTGTACTGTACACGAAGGACAGTAGCTACTAACCACATAGGGGTTGTGGGCATTTGAGACTAAGTCCTTCACACTTGCATAGAAATTTAGCATTATCTCACCAGGGGGGTTGGGGTAAAAACCAGCAAGATTATTGTTCAGATTTCATGAAATCTAAGCATGAAGGTACATGGAAACTACCATTACCTTTTAATTCCGTGTTTTCTGCATACAGCCTATTTTGCAAGCAGCGGCCACAGGAGCAAACAAAAGGCAAACCAGGCAGGCTTACCACCTGTTATTAAAAAATTGAGTTCTCTATACTCAGGATTCTTAGCCTGTAATTCATCCCCTTCCGGAAGCAAGAATTGGGGCTCAGTGACCTGGTTCTATTGCTGGGCACAATAAAACCCTTTGTCCAGGGTTTTTGTGTACAACTACAGTAAATAAACCACTACGTTAATTTTTTACTTAAATATAGTATCTTGCTAGAAAGTCACGATTCCAATTTTGTCATTATCTGTAAGTAAAGGTTCTAACATCATTCCTAAATTCTTTGCTAAATGACAGTGACAGTATCTATTAAATATTGGAATTAGTGGTGATCACAAAATTTCTTTTGCTACCATGATGAAAGCTGATTTTTTTAAAAATTGTATGAATAACTTACAAGGATTTTTGTTTTGTTTTAGTTGTCCCAACTTGGACAGAAATAACCTGGAAAAACTTCATGGAACTTGGATTACAGTTTTAAAAAGAAGAGCCAGATCTTTCTTTCCTTCTCTATAACAGTGAACAGTTATTTCATAATTTTTAATAATTCTATACTTATTATAATGTATACTGATTAAAAGAATAAAGCATTTCAGAAATAAATTTTTTAAGGTACATTTTCTCTCCTGTTATGTTTGGTTCACAAGTAGTCCACTTGCTCTCAGAACTTTGAGATGCCACTTTACTGTCTCTTCTGTCACACCTAACTAGAACAGAAACGTCCTCTATACAGTGGCGATAGTCAAACATGTAGCAAGATCTGGCTGAACAAAAAGTTCTTAAGAAAATGTTGATCTGCTCATTCTTTTTTCCTCTGAATAGGCCTTATCAAGAGGCATCTGTAACGTTACAACACAGTGTCAGGGTTCACAACCCCTCCTATGCCATTGCTCTCCTACCAAATCCAAGGTCAAGAAAAACCCATTAGCAAGTACTCTGCTCACCTTAGTTCCTGGGCCAAAATTTAAAATATATGCAAATGATATAGACCCGTCTATCCCGCAGTTAGAAAAGCCTAAAAGGAACACAATCCTAAAACAAAACTCCCACCTTCACCTACATACGAGTTGGTAATCTGGGGTTGAAGTCCAGGTTTTCTTTAAAATTTAATTCATTTCAATAGAAACAAAACGTATAACTCGGGTACTAACATTTCATTTAAAAAATGCATTGCCAATCCATTCTGACTCCTGACTGGCAGGCAGGCCCAAGTGCGTCAGTAGAACAGTGCCCCACAAAGGTTTCAGTGATGGGTTTCATGAAAGCAGTTTGCCAGGCCTTTCTTCTGAGGCAACACTGGGCCACTTGTATCATTCAGTGAATCCAGAGTACCACTCATGAAAAGATAGCAATGCTTTATATCAAATGTCACCCCAAAGAAAGATTAGTAGGGACCCAGCTCGTTAAGAATTTATAGTATTTTAAGGCATTATTCCACTTGATTTTTAAAGAGACATTAGTTACAGCAATCCGTATTTACCTATATTTCTGTATGAATTTTAGAGATTCTAGAAATTCTGAGAGGCCACTACTTCTATGAAAATAAAAGTTTTGGTCTTTTATTCCCAGTTTTAAAAAAAAAGCTAAAATGGCAGAATAAGTGGGGTTGGTTTTTTTTCATCTAAAAAGACATCAAAAAGCTAGCAAAATAAGGACAATATGAGGAGTCATACTCAGAATAGAGAAGAGATCATTAATGTACTTTTGTCAAACCCATAAGGCTCCACCTTGACTTGTGTTTTCACTTTGGTGTATGTACATATGCATGACAGAAGACAGCCCTGGACCACCCAACAGGGCCCAGTAGAACATACTCTCCATGAACCTTGGGCCTCAAATGGTTAAAATCCTCAACACACAGGCGAGCCAGGCCTGTCTCCTGCTCCCCACAAGGCTTTACAAGGGTCATAGACAGCTTCTCCCTTCAGAAGCTACATGATTAACAGTAAGTGGATGGTCCAGGGGTCCTTGGCACCCTAGACAGCTAGGAGAATTAAATGTGCATCTTCTCTAAAGAATTTTCCTTCACTCGAGTGCTCAGGAAATTGCTACAAATAATGTTTAAGTAAAAATGATCAGCTCACATTGAAAAAACAAAACAAGGAAAGAAAGTACTATGCATTAGAACTGGCGAAAACATAAGGAAGCAGAAATAAGCTAGACGACTTCAGCTTATAGGATTATCACACATAAAATAAAACCTGTTTTATATAAAAGTAACCTGTTGGTAAAAGTAGAATGTTCCAAATAATATGATTGTGAATGAGTGCAGAATGGGGGCCCAAAGCCCAGCTGTAGGCAACTGGACATCCCCTTACAGAAGGGCCGCAGGGAGGAGACAACCCAGTCAGGATGCAGTGTAGCAATGATGAAACATACAACTTTCCTCTAGTTCTTTAATGCTTCCTCCTCCCCACTATCATCATCCCAATTCTACCTTACAAATCCCGCTGGACCAGAGGATGTACACTGGTACAGATGGGAACTGGAAACAGGGAATCCAGGACAGATGAACCCCTCAGGACCAGTGGTGATACCAGGAAGGTGGATGAAGGTGGGGTACAAAGGGGGAACCAATTACAAGGATGTACATAAAACGTCCTCCCTGGGGGATGGACAACAGAAAAGGGTGAAAGGAGATGCCGGTCAGTGTAAGATATGACAAAATATGAATTATCAAGGGTTCATGAGGGAGGGGGAAAAATGAGCTGATACCAAGAGCTCAAGTAGAAAGCATATGTTTTGAGAATGACCATGGCTTGACACACCAGATGTATGTATGGATTGTGGTAAGAGTTGTACAAGCCCCCAATAAAATGATTTTTTTTTAAAGTAGGATGTTCTTAAAACTTGAACTATTTTCCATTATTTCAAATGAGAAAAATTGTCCATTAAATGTCCATTGAAAACTCCCAGCCAATTTACTGAAACAAATACTTGAATATAAGTAAATCAATGAACATAATGTGAAGTATTTAACATATGACTTCCTGATTACTGAACAGTATGTCTTTTAATAGCTGCTTTGTAAGCAGTAATATTTTTTCTAATCACTTTCCTCAAACTACTTTGTTGCCTTCTCCATAATTTCTTCAGTACATTTATTTTTTAGAGAAGTTGCTGCTGCTGTTCAGATCTCGTCATACGGAGGAACGGCTAAAAGCAGCCGAGGCACACACCGAGTGTGGTAATGCCTTTGCTTCTCAAGGCCCCAAACATTTTACACACATTGTCTTTATTTCAGTACTCATCATGTTTTCAAAACTTCTACACTGCTCCAGAGGAGAAAACAACAGGACTGACTGTTCCAGGGGGGGTCATGGGATAGGGGGACGTGGGGGAAATGATGGGGGAGTTGTCAACAAACCCAAGGCCAAGGGAAAAACAAGTAAGCTAAAATCGGTGGTGAGTAGAAAGTGTAGGATGCCTGGTGGGTCTTGATCAAGGGTAATGCAGCCAAGAGAAATTACTAAAACCCGAATGAAGGCAGAACATGATAGTGGGAAAGGGGGAAAGTAAAAGCAAATAGAAGAAAGAACTAGGAGGCAAAGGACATTTATAGAGGTCTAAATACAGGCGTGTACATATGTAAATATAATGATAGGGAAACAGGTCTATGTGTATATGTTAAATACTAAGACAGCAGATGGACATTAGGCCTCAACTCAAGTACTCAACACAAGAACACTTGGTTCTAATAACCTGGTATTCTGTGATGCTCACCTTCCCAACACGATCACTGAAGACAAAATGGGTGCATAAGCAAATGTGAAGAAAGCTGATGGTGCCAGGCTGTCAAAAGATAGAGCGTCTGGGGTCTTAAAGGCTTGAAGATAAACAAGCTGCCATCTAGCTCAGAAGTAACAAAGCCCACATGGAAGAAGCACACCAGCCTGTCTGATTATGAGGTGTTGATGGGATCAGGTATCAGGCATCAAAGACCCAAAACAAAAAAATATATATCAATGTGAATGAGGGGGAGGGCAGAGTAGACACCAAAGCCAATTGTAGGCAATTGGGCATCCCCTTACAGAAGGGTCATAAGGAAACGAGCCAGTGAGGGTACAGTATAGCACCAATGAAACATACAACTTTCCTCTAGTTCTTAAATGCTTCTCCCCCACACCATGACCCCAATTCTATCTTACAAATTCAGCTAGACCAGGACATGTACACTAGTACAGAAAAAAGCTTGCAACACAGGGAATCAGGACACGTGAGCCCCTGAGGACGAATAATGAGTAGTGATACAAGGAGGGTAGGGAGGATGTAGGGGGAGAAGGGGGAACTGATCACCATGATGGACATATAACCCCCACCCCACCCCAGGGGGACAGTCAATAGAAAAGTGGGTGAAGTTTGACAGGGGACGATGTAAGACATGAAAATAATAATTTATAAATTATCACAGTTCATGGGAGGGGGAGGAGCTGATACGAAGGGCTTAAGTAGAAAGAAAATGTTTTGAAAATGATGATGGCAACATATGTACAAATGCTTGACACAATGGATTATGTATGTATTGTGACAAGCTATACAAGCCCGCAATAAAATGATGGGGAAAAAAAAAAAACTTCTACACTGCATTTAACATTCTAGCAATTGTATTTGGAGATTTGTATTCGAGATTTTCCTTGAACATGATTTTGTTTGAAAGGTTGAGTTTGGGGGACATAAATAGAAATTTTCCTTATAATCAACATCATAAGAATCAAGAAATATGTAAATTCTATTGACTGGGTATTAAATACCAAGATGCTTTCTGTAAGAAAATGCATTAACTGGGGAAAATATCTGCAGAGAATAGTGAAGTCTTTCAGTACTAGCGCCTCAAAGGGTCCTCTGCTATTCAGCTTTTAATCAGTGCATGTGAATGAGCCGATGACATGAGACTGGGAAATGGCAATTCAAAAGGATAAGAAGGGAACCACTTCCAGAGCTCCGGATGCCAAGAAACAACCAGAGTGCGGGAAATTCTTCATTCCCAAACAACTGCATACAAACTCAAATAGTTTGCTTTTGTAGTTGAGAAAAATCCCTACATAAACAAACACTACTATCGTTCTGATTAATAAAGCTTAAAAAAGATAAAACGATTTGAAGTAACAATAGCCCAGAATAAAGCTCAAAAATAGAAGAGTACAAAACTATGCAGCACGTAACAAGGTGGAATTCACGTTTAGCATCCAATCTAAACTTATCAGGAATGCGATGAACATGAAAATATCCATCACAAGCTTGGAAATCTCTCTCAACTGAAGCAAAGAGATGACAGACTTTGCAAACAAGGACATGAAACTGGCTGCGGTAAACGGTCCATGGTTTCAAAAAGCCAGGAGAAAGAACTGAACCGTGGACTATAGAAAAAGTATCCAAATCATTGTATGTTTCCCGTTGCTGCTGTACCATTACCACAAACATTGGCTTACGTCAATACAAACACTTAAATTATTTTACTCTTCTGGAGGTGAGGGTTCAGAATGAGTCACTGAAATCATGGGACAGGCAGGGTTTCGTGCTCTGTCAGCGCTCTAAGGAAGAATATCTTTTCTTGCCTCAGGATTCTAGAGGCTGTTCGTACTATTTGGTTTATTGCACCTTTCCTTTTTTAAGGCCC